GCTGGGGGAAAGATGGTACGCCCCTCGGCATCACGCTCCCACCTCAACGTGATTTGAGGTCGGAAGTCAGCACAGAGGCTCTCCCCATCCTCCTCCACTCCTTCCTCCTGTTCCCCAAAGGTGACCGTTGTCACATCCACCTCTGGGTATTGAGCCTTCACCCTCTTTCTGCAGTCTGTGAAGGCCAGGATGGCGGTTGGCAGCCGGTAGAGCTTGAGGATGTCCTCGAAGGCGCTGGAGTTGAGAAAGTTGCCAATATGTCCCTCCATTCCGTTGTGCACCAACAGCTCCACGTTGTTCTTCAGCTCCATTGCCCCTTTCTTCAGGCTCTCGATATACTTGTCTTGAGTCTCAAGCTTCTCTTCGCAAATTTTCCTTTTGCGTTCCTCAAGAGACAGTTTCGTGCTCAAGATGCTATTTTCACTCCGGAGCTCGGTCACTGTTGGTGTCACCTCATCCAGCCTCTTCTGAATCTGCTGGTTTTTCTTCTACAACTCCCCCTTTTCCTTCTGGAGATCCTCCTTCTCCTTTCGCAGGACATCACATTGCCTCTGCAAGCTGGCACGATCTCTAACGCTCTCCGTATATTCCTGCGCTAGAGCGTTTGTCCAGCTCGCACTCTGCAATGCAATCAGAAGTCAGACATCAGATATAGGGGACAAAAAACCCAAGCATGCAACTAAAGTAAAATCTACATTTCGCATACCTCTAGGGCATGCCTCACCACGGTATACCCCGCATGGCTAAGCACCTCGTTCTTCGCTTGCATCCTATCCACGTCAGGAAGTGTAGCATTGAGAAAGTGCTTCGCCCCAGTCATGTTTGTCGCCTCAAACAAACCTTTCTGGTACGCGTGGGGTGGGGTGCGCTCCCTGCCCCCACTAAGGCCTCGCACCTCGGCCTCTCCTCTCTCCTGGACCTCAGGAATGGCTTCTGGAGGAGAAGGTTGAGGCACGAACTCCACCACCTCATCCACCCTGCCTTCTAGCTCTGCCACCCTCCTCTTCTTCCTCTGGAGCGGTGCCGTCTCCTCGCTTACGTCTTCGCTGCCCCCCATCACAGGCTCCGGCCTTGGTTGCACCTCCACGGCCCGGGCTGAAGTGCTGGGCAGGAGCTCTCTCTCGGGCACCCCTCTGTTCGCCGCAGCTAAAGTCGTTGACTTCTTCCTTGGCTTCTTGGGGATGCGCAGCCCCCCAGCAGCATTGGTAAACTCTTCCATTTCAGCTGCAACACAAGCGCAAAAGTAAAAACGCATAAACTAAAATTTAACTAACATCACACAATGCAAACATACACAGACCTTCGCTCAATGAGCTTGGCCCATAAAGCTCAGCAGCATCTATCGCCTCCTGGCTGGTGAGGTACAAGATATCCACTACGTCCCCGTCTTCCCTCACCAGCTTCTTCACCTCCTCCATCTCATCCTCATTCAACTTATAGTTGTTCTGCTTGGTTTTCTTCTCTTTCCAAGCAGACAACTGTTCTACTTCGGCATCCCTCCTACTCCACTCGGTGTCATCCACAAAGAAGAAATTTTCTTTCCACCCTTTGATAGATGACGGCCCAGGAGAGAATAAATTTCTATTCCCTTTGCTGGATGACCGAGGACCGAAGTGGTACCACCCCTTCTCCCCCCTACCCCCAGCCTTAATTATAAAAAAATGTTTGAACATATTTACTGTTGGAAACCCAACCCCCCGAACTCTGCAGTATACAAGAAAACCTATCACTACCCTCATGGCATTGGGAGTTAGCTGGGTTATTCCTATACTATAATCTAATAATAACCCAACCAGTAATTCTGGAATGGGAAACCTAAGCCCTGCAATCAAATAGTGCAGGTATATGGGCATCCAATGGTCTCGGGGTGCTGAGCATGCCCTCTCATTCACCCCGGCAGGCCTAATTAGGATATGGTGGGGAAGGTTACAGTTCCCCACTAACCCCCTAAGACTATTCCTACTCCCTAATTCGCTTACATACCCTCTCACCTCGGACACTATCTCTAAGTCCGGGTCATAGCACCCGTCTACCCCATCCCCAGATTCCAACACATTCGAGGGGATATCTTCTTCTTCCTCCTCTACTACTATTTCTTCTCTCCTCTCCTCCACCGTCCTCTCCGAACTCGTTGGAGATGGACTGGTCTCCGAATCCATGCCACCATACTCCAAGGGCACTACCTCACTTCCCACTACACTCATAGCCTCGTCTGAAGACATCTCACTTTCTGCATACAGGGGGGGAGGAACGAAGTCATAATCCTTAACAAGTCGAGTACGCTCAATACATTCTCACTCTCAACCCTAATTTCCCTCCAAAAAAAAAAATCAAAATCAACCACAGAAACGGAGAAAGGAGAACAGCACTCCGACAAAATCAAAGTAAAAAATTCATAAACTTTACCTAATTTTGGTACTGGAAACTGTTGTTGAGGCCGGGATTGAAGCGCAAACCGCACGAAATCGCAGAAATTTAGTAGCAATTCAACAGGAAATTTGAGACAAAATAAACGAAAGTAAAAAAGTCCCCTTTACAGAAATGTAGCCTTTTATACCAAAGGCAAAAGACGCCCCAACGGCTGTGATTAACTCAATCTAACGGCTGCAAGGATACCGTTTCAAATTCGACAGGTAACCATTAAACGACATCGTTCCAAACTTGACGGTTCGCTTTTCAAGCCCGCCCGTTGGATTGTTACGGTCATCTCTTTACAGCGGCATTAATTACGCACGTCATTCAGAGGACAGCTGTCGCGTCATGTGTCGCGTCTTTGTCAGACTTCGCAAATGGGCCCGCTTAAGCCCATTTCAACACTCTTTTCCACTTTGTACATTTTAAATTTTGACAAGTACTTCACTTCGGCTACGGCCACAGTGACTTAGTCAC